TCATCAGAGATCCCTAAGGTGGATAACACTCAGTGGGCCTTGGTGCCATTGTAATCACTCATGTGTAACCTATTATCTGGTAAGGCACTGACATTAGGGAAGTGGATTTGCATAGAGGCTGAAGTGCCAGGTCTATCATAGAAGACTGTTTATTTACAAGTAAATTACTATAACACAGAAAATTTTCTAATAAACTTAGCTATTCTTATGTCAACAGGGTTATCAGATGGGGAAATTAATTCAGCCATGTTATGACATACTATGCCCAGCATCATCTCAGCTATACCTTCTGGTCGTATTAACTTACGGTGTTATGAAAGCCGAGGTATGCACAGGGCACATGGTTCTCCTGAGACAGCACGCTACATGTGTGAAGTAGGCAGGGGGCTGGGCACGGCATTCTTCTCTGCCCCATATACAGAAGAAAAATGAATGAGGAAATATTAGAGGAAATGTTTTTAACTTTGTGAAGAGTATCCTAAATTAATTGCTTGCTTGCTTGTGTGCTTTTTTTTTTTTTTTTGAGACAGAGTCTCACACTGTCACCCTGAGTAGAGTGCCATGGCCACCTCATAGCCCACAGCAACCTCAAACTCCTGGGCTCAAGCCATCCTCTTACCTCAACCTCCCAAGTAGCTAGTACTACAGGCTCTTGCTAGTACTAAGGCCCAGCTAGTTTTTCTGTTTTTGGTAGAGATGAACTCCCTTCTTGCTCAAGCTGGTCTTGAACTCCTGAGCTCAAGCAATCCACCCCCCTTGGCCTCCCAGCACGCTAGGATTACAGGTGTGACCTTCGTTGCCCAGCCAGTATCCTAAATTTCATCAAGTGAAGTTCTTGGAAAAAACAATTATTTAGACTGATTTGAGGAAATTGTGTGTGAATTAGAGACTGTTTTGTAAATGCAATTTTATTAGTCCTATAATCCTTAAAGAATGACTAGAACAAACACCATGTGATATTTTCTTCTCTGAGTTTCTAGACTAACTATGCTTTGATCATATAGATTATAGTTGCATCATTCCTTGCCAGTGGAAATGTACACTGTAAAGGTTTTTAGTATTCTTTTTTGTGAATAGGTAAACCACCTTCAGGTGTCAACATTATTCACTTCTTACAACTGTTTTTCAGAGATATCACAAGTGTTAACTTCAGCTCAGCTGTTAACCAAATGATCCAAAGTAAGAGATTAACAAATTATAAATTGATGAAGTGTATAATTGATGAGACACTGATGCCAGTGTCTCAGCAGGAGATTGTCACTCATAGCTTCAGGAGATGGATTGCTCTCACTTAGGTGTAGGTATGGGTGAGTCCAATAGGATACTGACACACTTCTTGGTGCTTTTTTCTTTCCCCCGCTCCAGAAACAGTATATACCTTCTTGGTGGTGTCCACAGAGTATCCAGAAAACAATATGGGTTGCAATCCAAAGTTCTTTAAGAATTACACACCAATCAATTATGTTTTGTTTGATAGTGTTAATAAATTTAGATCTTTGTTGGTTTGGATCCAAAAATGGGAATGATTTCAACCATATTTTTTCATTTTATAGTTAGAATTCCTAAGCATTACAGTTTTGGATTTATCCAAAACTACCCTAAAGTGAGATTCCTATGTTGCCTATTTAAAGTTAGTATTGTTTTTAGAAAGCGTAGGTATAGATGACATTTGGAGATGCTGAACAGTGTTGAGTTATGATTCCCCACATAATGTTTGGACTGCAGTTTCAGAACAAGCATAGGTTGGAAGACTTGGATTTGAATCCTGGCTGTGTCATTATAAACTACTCTGTGTTAGGCGAATCACTAAAGTTCTCTGATGTTATTTGCTCATCTTTCAGATTCACCCCACAGCCATTTGAGAATTAAACAAGATAATATTATATATGAAAATATTCTGTGAACTATGAAATGGCACACAGGGGTATGGTATTATATGCCCTTAGCAATAAGCAAATAATTCCTCTTTCAGATCTTTTTTTTTTTCCCTCTCTTTCTCATGAATGCTTTTATATTCCTTAGAACTATAATGAAAAGAGTCTCATTTATTAGGCCAACTTCTATTTATAGCCACAGCCACACTACTAAAGGGTTCAGTTAGAACTTGCCATTATAAATATCATGTTAATAAAACCCAAACTTGTTAGACCAGAGTTACCTATTAATGTGTGTAAAATGCTTGATTTAATGAGAACCCATAGGTCACGGTATTAGGTCCTAATGTACTTTTACCTGTTCACATTGTGATCTACAGAAGGGGATTGATTGAACCTGCTTTGTAAAACAAGCAGGTAACTGATAGTGTTTTGTTTTTAGTTCAAAAAAGTCTTAATTCATTAGATTTAAAGATTTTGCGATCTGGCTCGGCGCCTATGGCTCAACCGGCTAAGGCGCCAGCCAC